ATGTCCTGACAGACTAATAATAATTTTCTCAATACTTTCAGAGAAAAACCTCTGATGATTGTGATCTGCACCAAATGTCCAGCTAGTTTAATGTGAAAGTTAGTTTTACTAACTTTTTCCAGGTGGTGGTCATCTAGCAGAAGGCTGTGGTCGCTGAGGACAGGGAGAACATCGTTGTAACTGAGTTCTTCTGCCTCAGAGTCGTCTGAGCTGCACAGACTCTGGCGACGTTTGGAGTCTTTCACAGTGATGATCTGTGAGGCAAGCAGAAAATTGCAAAGATATATTCATTGTCATCAAACAAATTCACTCCCTGCTTACTGTCACAGTAATACTCACTGCTGTCGCATTTTTGTTACTCAAGAAAAGTTTAGGGGCTTTGCATATTAAAAAGTTTTGATTTATTTAAAACTGAGCACAAGTATCACAATAACTGAACTACTGGATGACAACAAAGCAGCAAAGTATGGTGACAGAAAAACATTTGAACCTCCACAGTAACCTCACTGCACCTCCTAACATGAATACATTCAGCAGAGTAATCTTACCTCAACATAAGGCTCCATACAGTCACTGGCGATGTAAAGCACCTTAATATTTTCTGGTAGGCGCTTCATAGCTACTGATTTCCCTGTCAAGCGCTGCTTTCTGCTGTACCACATGTCTGCTAACCAAACTGCCATCCAGCAGCTCTTTTATATACACTGAGTTACTTTCCCTTTCAATGTCTGAAGTGTTATTGGTTGGAAATCTTAGCAGATGTTTGCTCATTGGTCAACTCTGACAGTGAACAGTTTCTTTTCTCACTAAACAGGAAAACGAAATCTGGGTTAGGTTTGTAGAAGGAAACAGGATGTCCATATATGGACAGAGGGCATTCCCACAGCCTCACTTTTAACTTTTAACAATAACTGCCAACAAATTTGTCAGGCCACCACCCATTATAAGGTTTATGCCACAGCCGCACTAAATTAACAGTATTGGTAATTAACAAAATCATGTTTTATGTTTCTGTAATTGTTAACCTACCAGTATGTGCAAATGAATAATGCATAATATGAATATTATGTATATTTTTTAGAGCTAAAGTATTACTATCCATGAATATTCAAACTAAAAAATATTTGGGTTTTTTTCTTTTAATGAAAGGTAGTTTAAAAACATTTTTAAGCACCGTAAGAACACCTGAGCATCAGAGAGCTGATTCTTGGAGTGTTCTGCAGGGTGTGTGTTTAACCTTCGAGATATACTAATGTGTGTTTTTGCGTATATCTTACCTCCCACTTTTTAGCGGCGGTGTTGATGGGCTTGCTGAGGATCTCATTGATCGCTGCAATGTCCTTCTCCACAACCAGAATGTGGTTCTGATTTTTGTCTTTGATGACGTAATGCGGTTTCCACTGGTTCTTGTCGCCTTTGTGGCAGACCTCTGGTGACCACTGCGCAAAGAATGTGTAGAGGTGGTCAACCCTGTAAAAAAATAGATAAAATTTAGGGGGTTTTTAGGTTACCAGTATACTTATATAGCTGTAGATGGTTGACTTCTTATACCTTAGATAAAGTGTTTAAAGGGTTCCTGAGATCAAGTAAAATGCTAAGAAGCACAATGACATAGCAATATCAGAAAACTAAATAGTTACTCATAGTGAATAACAACACAGGCTACATTTTCTCCATTTTCCATAGAAGTTAAAATATAATAACAACTAAAAAAAAGCCTCTGTGATCTAAGATGTACCTGGAAATAAACTGCAACAGTTATACTTGTTTTAAACTTTTTGAGCAATTATCATCTTTGAGTTAATCCTGGAACATGTGTGGGAATGAGAAATCACTATTTCCAACTGTCCATGTTGGAGTCTGCTTTGTCTACAGTTTCAATCAGACATGACTGACAGTTCAGAAATCCCCTCTAGTCTCTCCCTGTCTGGTTTACCATGCCAGACTCTTTGCTGCAAGCCAGCAAACTCTTGAAAAGAAATCTCAGTGACTCAATGACTAAGGCTGCTTCCTTTGGTTCAACGAATGTCACAATGTACGCATCCAACATAAAGAACACTCATTTCAACATTTTCACATGACAGTTTCTTTTTGCATGCACTTGAAGTCTGACGTGCAAAATCTTTTACGTTTCTGCAGTTTTAAGTGCACGTTTACTTCTTTGAATTAGCTGAAACTAACTAAAGCTTTGTCTGATTCAAATGCAGTTAGCATCACCATAATCACCCAGCACCCAGCATAACAATGCTCATAGATATACTGATTTGTTCTACTTACTCTCCAACGCTATATGCAACTCCCATGGCTGAATGGAGATGAATGTCCCGATAAAAATCTCTTAAAGAAGCAGTCAGGACTCTCAGCGCTGATGAAGCATTTGAACTGTGGGTCTCTGCCATTCCCGCTTTTTATATGAGCAGGACAACTGCTGAGCCAAGCTTCAGTGAACATTAACCCTCCCTCTCCCTCTTCACACAGCTTACACGAGCTGCACGTATTCATGCAGGGATTACACAACGGCGCCTGAAAGCCAAAGCTAGTGATACATTAGCTTGACCTGCTCTGCAGCTCTACCATTAAGGTTAGCAGGAGCACAGCTGAATTCTGTGTCAAAGCTCAGATGTGGATGAGTGGTGAATGACACCACTGTTGCACTTTTCAGTCCAGTACATTCTTCTTACAGCTACACTTCATGAGAGCTTTTGAGAGAAAGATTTTAAAGAACTAGTGCAAAATGATCCAGAACATTAAAATGAATCATGCATAGCAAAGTTAACACCAGATACTGAAAAGCTCCTTATGTGTAAATGCATCACTAAAACAGTGAAATTATATATAAGATATTATATATAAGAATATGACAGTGGATAAGGACTTTCTTGCAGCTGGCACGCTCAGGTTTCCTTTGAACAATATAAAAGGGGAAATGGTCAACGGCTTGGCATCAAATCAGGAAGGATGAGGCCATAAAGGAAGGTGGTCTGTAGAAAACAGCCAGTTAGAACAGGGTTATTGGGTTTACGCTACCTCAGTACATTTTTATATTGAATGACTTGATGATTGCAATGACATACATCTGCCTGCACCTATGATTTGAGAGGGGTTTTTCTTTATCTTATCCTTCCCATTTCTTATAAGACTGGTATAAAGTCTTAACAAAAAGGACCTCAACTGTAGTATTGACCATTTAGAAAAGATGAGTTTTCAGTGCTGACCATTTAGATTAACACACAAATGTTTCAAGGGCCCCAAATGATCTGAACACACTGAGCTGATTCAGTAATCCAATTTGTTCAGAGCTGAGTTGAGCTTGTACTTTCCAAATAACTTCACTTTCTTGACCAGATTTTTCCACAATTTTCTTCAGCAATAATGACATAGGTTTGATCATGTTCAGCCAAAGAGGTCAGAAGATTACAATGGGTACATTCTGGGGTCAGCAATCACCCTTGATATTCTTACACAAAACCAATAGAACGAAAGAGATAAAAATTCAGACAGTGTCCACTGTGACACAGCGACAGGATTGATTAGTAAACAGATCAACAAACATAGATTTACCCAGACAGATATGAGCATATACAGTAAATGCACGTGCAAACAAGCAGATGCACGCACTTATTGTCAAAAACACACAACTGATGCATTCATCAGTCAGATATGTCAGCTTGACACGTGTGCACACACCTGTAGGAACACTCCTACCTCCTGAAAATCGCTTGTTATAATCGACTCAAAGAGGACCTACTTGGATTTATTTTTAATGTGAGATTCATAATGTTCCCGATGATGCTGACATCGTGCTTTAAATGTAGTTCTCCTGTGCTGACTGAAACGTGCATGTTTACAGCAGTTAACGTGCAAGAAACTAGTCTTGCACAGTGGGATAATGGAGTGACAGGGTTCGTCACAGTTGAAAACAGCTGTCCGTGCGCACAGGCCATCCTGAGATCCTAAAAAGATTTTCAGATTTTCAGAAGAAAGAACACGTTGCTCTTGGCAATACTGTCTAGAACATTTCTTGCTCCACCTCTTCTTCAACCGTGTCTGTTTCCAGCCAGACATACAAAAAAAACACAAAAAAAATCCTACCGAGTCCACATCACACACATGCACACGCAGCCTCACACAGAAGAACACAAATACCATAAAACATCCAAGCACGCATGCACGTACAAACTATTTCCTCAATCCTGCAAGAGGAGTGTAAGATTTAAATGTATGTATTTAATTTAAATTTGTATAAGCTGTAGATGTTTTTTTTGGTTTTTGGCGACGACTAGACGACAAAAAAGTTGTATGAGTCGGTGGAGGGGGAGGGGGCCCTCCGTGTTCTGGTTACCAGCACCGACCTTTGCAGTGAGCAGCTTCGGTTACGTGCAGCCCGTGTTTTTCACCCGCGCTGAGCACAAAAGAAAAGAAAAAATTATTGAACTTAATGAAGTTCGGTAAACATATCTATGTGCATCTCCGATAGTTCCTTCATAATAAAAGCATCAAGCTGGATCACCATTTCAAAACTTTTAACTTGAAGTAAGAAACGCCGGAAATGTCTCGTTTGCATTCACAATAGCGCTGAGACATAAACAGTCCTTCACAGCGAAACGTCTTGAAGGTACAAAGACGGGAGGAGACAGACGGGAGTTTGTGGCACAGCACTGGCACGTGCTGACCGTGACCGACCGGTTTTTCGAGCACGAGCAGCATTAGAGTGATGATGGGTGTAAAAAAAAAAGAATAATGTGCACGATTTTTCATGTAGATTGCACTGTACATAGTATTATATTAATGTACAGTATGCATAGAGATATGTGAAGTGAATTTCAAGTGCATGTAGGCTTTATGAGTTTACCTAAAATAAAAGTATTCATGCAGAACAGTCAGTTTTACTAGTTCACCGGTTGTTGTTTATGAGAAGTGATAGAGGAAAGCTCATGACGTCCCTAAATTAAAATTCAGTTTAGTCAAATTATCTGTGCAGATGAGTGAAAAAGACATATTCATCAGCCCAAAGGTAGCTTTCAATAAAATGGGCCTCATATATTAACTGTAAAGCATGATGAGGAAATGGTCAGTGTGCAGTCACTGACTCAACGATTCAATGAATCTATTCAGAGAGCTCAGGATAACTTCTCTAAAAGTTGAAGATGGACTGAAGGTAGACCTTTCAACAGGACGATGACAATTTACAAATAAATAGTATCAAAAAAGGACTCGTTGCCGGTGGGTGATGGGCTCCGTCAGGGCTGCCCTTTGTCACCGGTTCTGTTCATAATTTTTATGGACAGGATTTCTAGGTGCAGCCAATTGGCGGAGGGCTTTCACTTTGGTGGCCTCAGAATCTCATCCCTGCTTTTTGCGGATGATGTGGTTCTGTTGGCTTCATCGGGTGAAGGCCCCCAGCTCGCACTGGAGCGGTTCGCAGCCGAGAGTGAAGCAGCGGGAATGAGGATCAGCACCTCCAAATCTGAGGCCATGGTTCTCAGCCGGAAAAG